TCTCTCTCGTGTCACTATGTTACCCAGGCTGGTCTTGGACTCCAGGGATCAAACAATCCTCCTGCCTTCCTTTGTGTGGACCAGACCTCAGATCCAACCAGAAAGCACCAGTGGACACAGTTGAAACAGACATCAGGTGCAGGCATTGTTCTGAACCTCTGTGGCCATATGAATGTCTGCTTAGTGGCTTAGTGTGTTTCTATCTCCTCTGGGTTTTGTTGTCATTTTTTTGTTTGTTTTGTTTTGTTTTCCAATACATTGTAGCTCTGGAACTCACTCTGTAGAGCAGGCTGGCCTCAAACTCACAAGGCCTCAAACTCACAGAGATCCACTTGCCTCTGTCTCTTGAGTGAAGGGATTAAAGACGTGCACCACCACTACCTGGCTCCTCTGGTCTTATAAAACCCATTGTAATCACCTCATCTTATTTGATTATATATGTAAACAGCCCATTTCCAAATAAAGCCACATTCCCTGGGGCATTAGGATTTTACCGCATCTTTCGGAGCACACGACCCAATCAGTCCATAGCTGTAGCACGTTTAGCACATGGTTCAGTATTCATTTCTTTATGTTTCCTTCTCTGGCCTTATAGTTCTAAGGGAGGAACCTACTACTTCCGTTTTACCAAATGGTTATGTTAACAAATTGGCTTCTAGCTTTTACATCACACCCATAGATTAACATGGCTTTCAACCTTGGCTAAAGAAAACTCCTGCAGGCCGGGCGGTGGTGGAGCAGAGATGTTTGTTTTATCATCCTCGTATTCCCAGGCCTGAGGAGAGATGCTGACATGTCAGAGCTGCTCAGAGAAGTGTTTAAGTGAATGCGTTCAGATCCCAAGTCCTCCATGGGGGTTTACTTCTCTATTCAACCCCTACTTCCTCTCTTCTTGTGAGTTGCCAGCTGTCTTCTGAAATCCCACATAGCCGAACTGGCCAATCTTATATTTTCTGGCTATTATCACCACCCTGAACCAGAACACTGCCATTTGTTCCCCAGACTTTAATAAAAGCCTTTGGAAAGTTCCTCAGCATTCTCTTCCAGCAGCTTTTAAATCCACTCTCCGAGTTACAATTTGAGTAAACACCCCAAAATGTAAATCTCATATGCCATTTTACTACTTCAGATCCCTCTTCTCACCGCATGTGTGATAAAGTCTGACTTCTGAGTATGCCTTCTAATGTTCTTGACGGTCTGCGTAACATCTGTCTTTTTCAGCCCTTCTCAACTTCCATATACATATCATATCTATCTATGCCCAACAGCTTCCTTCCCAGTTTCATGTTCTCTCCTGTTGTATTTTTGTAACTCACTGATCCATTTAATGCAGCTTCCTGGAATAGTGACTGCTTTTGTTGGCTTGATCTGGTACAGGTCCTGTGTGAATAACTGTAACTGCAGTGAGCTCATGGGTGTCACAGCCAGGTCACGCCCAGCATTGCCGGCACTCTCCCCAACCTACAGCTCTTACGCTCTCTTTTTTGTAGCTTTTTTTCCTCTCTTTCTCTGTGTAGCTTTGGAGCCTGTCTTGGAACTCACTCTGTAGACCAAGCTGGCCTCGAACTCACAGAGATCTGCCTGCCTCTGCCTCCCAAGTGCTGGGATTAAGGTGTGTGCCACCACCTCCTGGCCAGGATCTTCATTAATTGCAGTTTTCTTTCTTTCTTTCTTTCTTTCTTTCTTTCTCTCTCTCTCTCTTTTTTTTTTTTTGGTTTTTCGAGACAGGGTTTCTCTGTGGTTTTGGAGCCTGTCCTGGAACTAGCTCTTGTAGACCAGGCTGGTCTTGAACTCACAGAGATCCGCCTGCCTCTGCCTCCGGAGTGCTGGGATTAAAGGCGTGCTCCACCACCGCCCGGCCTGCAGGAGTTTTCTTTAGCCAAGGTTGAAAGCCATGTTAATCTATGGGTGTGATGTAAAAGCTAGAAGCCAATTTGTTAACATAACCATTTGGTAAAACGGAAGTAGTAGGTTCCTCCCTTAGAACTATAACTTCCTGAGCCATGGGGCTTTTAGCAAAGTTTACAGTACTAGGCATGAATTTCTTTCTGTGGACCAGACCTCGAAGCCAATCAGAAAGCAGTTGGTTTCCCCATAACTTCCATTTTACTGTGCACCAATGAGCACATTTTGCCTGACAGGTTAGCAATGTAGAATTTAAATTTCACTTCTGAGTGATACTGTTGATGACTTTTCTCTCCCAGCTGTCTGCTTATCACCTTTAAGAATTAGGAAAGCTGAGCTGGAGAGATGACTTAGAGGTTAAGAGCACTGGCTGCTCTTCTGGAGGTCATGAGTTCAATTCCCAGCATCCACATAGTGGCTCACAACTGTCTATAGTAAGATCTGGTGCCCTCTTCTGGCTTACAGGCATACATGTATATATAATATATATAATATAGAACACTGTATATATAATAAATACATATTTTTTTAAAAAGGAATTAAGAAAGCTATATAATATGCATTTATTATGATTACTATTATTAACAAAGAGCTTTGTATATACTATTTCCTCTTCCTGGAATGCCCTTTCTAGCTTGGCCTGGTTAACTTCTACGTATCTTTCGTATCTCAGCCTAGATGACTGCCCTTCCCAGATTTAGTTGGATCCCCTTGTTGTTAGTATCCCAGGATAGGCTGTCTGTCTTCACATTCCTCTTTTGTAAATCTCATTACTTACATTGCTCGCTCAATGTCTGATTTTCCTGCCGCAGAGTCAGCGTCAGTGCTATTTTCATCTCTTTATTGTGAACATTCCTGATATTCGTGATGTTCAACATTTTTGTTGTTGTTTAAAGAATGGATGTATTGTCTAGCTGTTGTTTGTTCTTAAATTTGACCCTAACTTTGGGAAGCCCACTGTGACACAGTCTCTAAGCAGTCAGAATATATGGCTGTTTCATGTTTGACTCCTCAGAATTCTTGGCCTCTGTGGACTTTCCCCTCCCCAGCAGAACACCTGCCCTGGAGGAAGAAGCCTTCATAGGTTAAGGTAGGGATACCTTTGTTAGAAGACAGAACTTGTATACTGCTGGGATTAGAAAGGGGAATTCTGTACTGAATTCCCAGCTTTGCACAGAAGCAGGAAGGAGGAACTCATTAGGTTATATACACTGTCTCATCACCATCATCATGATCACCACACACACACACACACACACACACACACACACACACGAGTTGGGGTGGAGTTGAGACAGGGTCTACCCATGTAGCCTAGTCTGCCTAAGAGCCACAGTCCTCTTGTATCTGCACATAGAGTGCTGAGATTGTTGGTGCGTGCCACCACAGCTGACTTACCGCCAACTCTGCTGAGGACTGGTAGTGTTTGTGGGAACAGGAGTGAGGATGTGTTCCACTGTGACTATTCATTGTCTTATTTAGAAGTCTTCAGAATTTTCTTTAATTTTTTCTATTTTTCCTTAAGGCAATAGCACATCAATGTTTTGTCAACCAAATTCTTTAAATTTACTGAGAGCTGACTTTGTTATATTGTGCTAGTTAAGTATTCTCTCTTTTTTCAGCAATACTTCCAGGGGTCTCTTTTGCTCAGGCTCTTGGCCATGGTGCCTGCATAAAAAAGTGGGCTGCTTTCTTGAGGAATCCACATGCTAGCTGGGAGGAAAATGCCTTCCGTCTTAATGTGTGTGTGTGTGATATATTATGGCAGACCCTGGGAGGAGGTCTGTGCAGTGCATAGAGACGGCAGGCAAGGCAGGCAGAACGTCCGGTGGTTATTCAGGAGCGTGTACATTGCTATTCCTTGTCTAAGTTGTTGTATGGTCTCAGAGTCTGTGATTTCAACTTCAAATCTATTTTCTATATTAAAATGTCTTGAGATTTTCCATGTCTATCTTTCAATGACAAAGCTAAGGATAGATCTGGAGGCAGGTCGACTTGAATTTCCACTAGGGAATCATGTTTTAAGTTTCAGAAGGCTCCAGAAAAGAATATCTAAGTGCTGAGGTTAACCGATGTGATGGATGCAGCCTTTTACCGTGGTACCTGGCGGGAAGCAGGAATGTTAGGGTTTTGTTGTTGCTTATTTTGTATTGATGGTAACAAGAAATGTATTTATATTGATATTTGTAAACCAAGAAATCATAAGTGAGGGTCACATTGAAATCAAGAACGCCCACTTGGGAGTGGAAAGGCTCAGCAGGGTGAGTGAGCTTTCTGGAGCGAAGTGGCTTAGGCATTGACGACTTCATGATCCAGTCAAAGTGGCTGTAATTCTCTAAGTCCATGGAGTCCGTCTGGACGGGTCAAGTAATATTCATCTGATATTACTCAAGCCCCCCAGCAAGGTGCTGTTCGATAACCCTAAAACTTGATACTTTTGGCATATTCCGTGTACCAATCTTATTCCTTTAGTAAAGAATTTTTCCTCTCAATTGCCCCTGCAGCTATTTTCACTTTTATTTAATTTTACAATCATATAATTGCTTATTATTGATTTTTTTCTTTTTCTTTTTCTTTCTTTTTTTTTTTTTTTGATGCTCAGATCCAGCTTAGGGACTTGCTCATGCTGGGCAAGTCCTTTACCAGCTGAGTTGTATTCTTCAAGCCCTGATTTTTAAAGATATAATGTGATTTCTTTGTTTGAAGACAGTCTAAACGTCATAAAAACACAACACAAAGATTTCTTTAAAAAATGTATAAATTAGCAATTTATTGAGGTAAACTTATGTATTCCAAAAAATAATCTGGCTGTGTAACAGAATATTCAGATCAAATAGATTTTTATATTATAATTTCAAAACTATTACATATAATATTTCAAGTGACACTCATAAAAATTATAAATATTAATTATAAATTAACTTACAGTTTACATATTTAAATTATCAATAAATTAAAAAAATATTAAAATAGTGTCCCAACATTCATACTGTCAGTTCTTCGTAGAGAACAACATAAGGTAGATACCCGGCAACAGGTACGCTGGCCGATCACAGTGAGGGCTGTCCACAGATAGCGTGCTTAGGCGCAGCACACTAGTTTTGTCGAGTAGCCCTCCTGGTGTTCTTTATGAATTCTTCAAGTGCTTTCAGGATGAGCTGGATGGTCTTGGTCCTTGGCCACCCCTTCTGCGACTCCAGCTTCTCCAGTAGGAGGGCCTTGGCAGTTGGGCTAGGCGTGACTATTCTACTTAGATCCTTTACCTAGTCGGAGGAGGAGAGGAGAAAGACTGGTTAAATATTTCACACGTCTTTTGTTGTGGGGTGCTCTGAGATGTTCAGATTTAGACTGAATGAGACTAATTGGGTCCATCCGCCCTGACTCACCCAAGCTAGGGGAGGTGCTTTTGTTCCAGATTCCCCTGAGAGGGACCTATGCATAGCAATTCCATTCTCTTTTTTTCCTCAAGGTAATTGTTAGCTTTTCAATGGCAACAGAATCCTAACTTCCCCTTTACTCTTGTCTGCCGTTAGAGAGTAAGCACCCAGAGGCCAACACCACCACCTTATTTGTCTGTTATCCAAAACAGTGCTGACATATACTACTGAACGAAGAGGAGCCCATCGGTAAAGGTGGTTCAGTGGGTTCTAAAGCAAGTGCTTCCCTCTCACTTCCCATTCAGATTCTGTTGTGAGTCTCTTGGTGTGGTAGCATGAAGGAGGCTGGAAACCCCTCTCCATGGACCCACTGGCGTGGGGATGACTATCGGGAAGGCTTGTCCCACCACTTGTGAGCCTGAAGTATAGCGGAATTGCAAGAGCAGGCAACTGTCTACAGAGGGAATCCCAGCCCCCCCCCCCCCCCCCCCCCCCCGCGGACCTTCTAAGTCAGGCTCTGCTGGAACAAGACTCCACAGGACTCCTGTGCACAGCCAACTAGGAAAAGCTCGGGTTTAAGGCAACTACAAGAGGCAGAAGCAGCCTTAGCATCAGGGCTGCATTCCGGGCCCTTCTTGCATCTGACTTGGCTCATCCACACTCTGAGCCATCAATCTTCTATTAAATCTACCATTTAATAGCTAGTGGCAGCCAGAAGCCCTTGATCATCTCCTTCCCTGCCTTTTCAGCCTTTGGCTACTTCTCTGCGTTAGGTCTCCGGTAGCAAGGCTGTCACTCACAGGGATTGATAATAGACTCGTGTTTGTGCCCTGTGATTTTTTTTTTTTTTTTATAATGGCTGTCTGCATAGGGCTGGGTATACTTCCTTTTGTCTGTTATATTTTTCTTATCTCTTAATCAGCTAGGTAAAATCTGTTTATTATCATTTAAAGAAGTTATTTTCTTTGCAAAAGAGACCCCCCCCCCCAAAAAAAAAACCCCAAAGTGAATCAGAACAAGGTTCTACAATAGGAACGGTTGCTCAGACCCTCTGCCTTCCGAGGCTGTCTGTGGAAGCTGCTGCAGCCTTGAGATGAGGCAGGGTGCATCCCCCCATCCCTTCTCCACACTGCATGAGAGAATGGGAAGCACTCACCTCTTGTTTGAGGATCTGATTTAGGGTTTTGGTAGCACTCTGAATGACTCTGGCTTTGTCTTTCTTGTTATCTTGTACATTGTTTGTCACGAACTCCAAGTAGATCTGGTAGTCCAGAAGACCAGAGGTGATTTTCAATAGGCAAAGTTCCTATGAGTAGAGTGGGAGGGAAAATTAGTTCTCTCTAGGAGACAGACTCGGTCCGAGAATAAGATTCCTGCTGCTCAGCATCTTTTCCCTTTGCCCCTCTAGAGAATCAGGTACCAGGCAGCATCAGCTGACCTCCCTTAACTAGCTGGACAACTAGAGGCACCGCTTAATATTTTCCCCAGGATCAAGAGTATGGCAGTGGGGATCCCCTTCAGGCCTGCCCTGCCTCTGCCCCCACTACTCTTCCTGTACTCTTGCTCACGTCTGTGCTGGCCCGAGACCTGCTTGTAAGGAATAACGAGAAATCCATGCAGGTTATCTCAATGGCTAGAGGGGGAGAGGTGTGGAGAGGGCTCTCAGTTAGGGAGAATGGGCTTGGATCATTCTAGGGGCAGCCAGAGAATGATCCCTGGACCTCTGTACTTGAGATGAGCTAGCTAAACTTGCTGTGATTTCTAACATTTAACAGACGTGAAGAATCCAACAAAGGGGACTTTACCTACTCAATGGCAAAGTGCTTTTTAATCAAAGGTTTAAGTTACTTCCCTCATAATATTTACATAATATTCTTTCTATCTACTCCCCCATCTCTGTTGCCTGACTGGAGCTGTGTGTATGCAGGCACCACATGCAAGAGAACTTGGGCTGAAAGTAAATGTGACAAACTCTTACCCGATTGTATCCGGTTTGTAAGCATCCGTCATTTCTTTGCATTGCTGGAAGCTCCAGATTGTTTTCTGACAAAGCATCGTCATTGGCCATACAATCAGGACTGTTATCACACAACTGCAAAAGAGTACAGAGCGCTCGCTTAGCTAGCACCACTAGAGGGCCAGGCCATGCTCTCCCACGGCCAGGAGACACGCTAAGAAAAAGGAAGCTACCCCCTCTCGGTGCCCGACCAAGCAGCCCAATAGAAAGAAATCCCCTAGGCTCAGTCTTCTAACTTCAGGTTTGTTACTCTGTCTTTAAGTAAAGAATTGTTAAAGTCCCCCTGTCCATTTATTTAGAGAATTCAATGATATAAACTGCCTGACACATAGTAGGAACTTAGTAAATGACAGAAATTTTGATGATAATTGGGACAAATAAATTTCAGCCACAGAATATTCCATCTGGAAGGGCCTGTGCTATCATCTGTAACTCCATAATTTTACAGATAAGAGTCCTAAATAGTAGGGAATGTCCTCAAGATTACGAAGTTAGTTCTACACACCCAAACCTAGAGTCTGGGCTCTTCTCTCTTGTGACTTTTTTTCTTTCTGTCAAGCAGAGTCAAAATACTTTGCATTTAAAAATGGAAGATACTTTAATCTAGGTAGATGTTGTTTGTTTTTGTTTTTTGAGACAAGGTTTCTCATTCTAGTCCTGGCTGTCCTAGAACTTGATATGTAGATCAGGCTGATCTCTAAGTCAGAGATCTTCCCGCCTCTGTCTCTCGAAAGCTGAAATTAGAGGCATGCACGGCTGTGCTTAGTCTAATCTAGTTGTTAGTTAGCTCTTTGTTGGGCTCTGTATTTGCATCTTAGCTGGGTTGGCCCTGGAGAGTCCTCATCACTCAGTTTACATTCAACCAAAAAGCACTGCGACTGCACAAGCTAAAGATTCATCCATTCCCAAGAGTCCTTCCGGAGTTCAAGGCAAAGAGACCTTACTCTTTGGTAAGGAAAAAGGAATCCCCACCCAAGAAACAACTGCTAAGTGAGGCTGAGAATGGCCCGCTGTGAAATTTAGAGATGCAGCTACATTCTGTATTCCCAGACAGGGAAGGACCCCTGAGAGCAGCAAAGAGAAAAGATAGTGAACACAGTGTAGTCTGATCTTTAACCTCAAATTCTAAGTGCCCTAGAACCCGGCAGAGAATTCCCAACTCAGGAGCAAAGAGAATGAATGAACGCCCACACTGGGCCTTCATCACTTTCACACAGCCTACCCACCTCTTTTCTCATTTCGAAGACTTCCCTGAGGATGTAACTAATCAGGCCTCCGAGTTGTTGCGAGGTGGTGTGTACTGGTCTGTTGGGGGTGGTGTCCTCTGTGTGGTCTCCTCTCCGGACTTGTGAGGTAGGGAGGGCAGTGGCCGTCGCCAGCATCAGCCCCAGGACGGCAAGTGGATGGAAGTCTCCTGTGTGGAGGGAAGGGAAAGCAGCAGTGAGCAGATAGCACAGCTGGGAGGCTGCTCCTGGCTGCTGGCCAGCCCGCAACCCTCGCTCTCAGCCACACGCTTCTCTCTCACACCGCTCAATAGCTCCACCAGAGGGCGAGGAATTGCCTTCACTTACTTGCGGAGAGGAACTTCATAGCTGTTCCTGGAGGGCAGACAGAGTTGTCTTTCGTTCCTGGTGGGCTCGAGAGCAGAATGAGCTACAGACATCCCCAGTCTCATATTTATTGGGAGTCGACTCTCTAATTTTGAGACTCATGGGAAAATCCCACATTTGATAAAAATCTTTGTTGGAGGGTGGGGGCGGGGCCAGAGTGGGTGGGGCTGATTGGAAACCTTATTAAGATTGCACAATGACGTCGTAAGCATCGAAAGAATCACAACTTGGGGGCGGGGGGGGGGGGTTGCGTGTGCTTAAGTCATCCTTGAGGCTAGCCCTTCTTAGCCTGATCATTCTTTACTTTCTTCTAAAAAAAGTGACTCAGCACTCTAGCATGAATTGAGAAAAAGAAACACCAAACACACTGTTTTATAAGGAGAACAAGAAGTAAGAACTGATGTGATTAAGCACACACACTCGAGCTACTAGGAAAGAGGCTAGCATTTAGTGTCCTACTTCTTTATGTTTATAAGAACCTAAGATGTTCTGACCTGAGTTTCTTCAGATCATACAAAGCCCCCCTGCCCCAACCTGGCTTATACAGACAGTAATAACGCCTGTCGCACAGTGCTTTTATGTCCTGGATCTCGTCAGGACTTGATGTTCCCAAATGGTTTGTTCACCTCCAGATTTTGTGCAGTTGTTTCTTAGGAGTCCCAGGTGGAGCCTGAGCGAAATAGAGCTATCTCCTGTGTGCCACCAAGTACTGCTAGTTTCCCCTCACACCCAGCCTCTCCTCTGCTTTCTCTCTGGCGGCCTCTTGGGTATCTTCCTGCTAAGACTGTTAGTCTCTGTGTAACAGAGCTGCTCTTACCTCTTAGTGCTGACTCCACTGCTCTCAGAACACCCCACACATGTGATAGTGTAATCCTACTGTCCCAGGTCACCCCCAGGAGGCTCAAAGGTCTGTCGCAGTCCTCAAGTTGTTGAACTCCCCTTAGTTCAGGATACTTGAAGGATACAGAGATGGAGGAAGGACCTATGGCATCTTAGCTGGCTTGAGTTTGAACTCTCCTTTTCTGAATGTCTTTATTGAATCCGAAGGGGCATGGCTCACTCTGAGTGACCCTCCAATGCCAAGTCTTCTAGACAGGGTTAAGCTTAAACGGACTCCTTCTTCCCTTTGGTTGATTTCTTCTCCAGGAGGGATAACATTCAGGATGGCTCCAGTCTGAAAGTAGGTTCTCTGTAAGAACCCAGATCACTCACAGCATAAGCTCTCAGCATCGCAGTCAGCTTCTCTCCAGATTCTTACAGCAGTGACCTTTGCAAAGACAGTTAAAGATCGGTGGATTTACTCTCCGGTTTGTATACATAAAATGCTAGGTCTGCTGGTTGAAAGAAGTGAGGTCATCTGTTCTTTTACTGTTTGAGGCACCAGTCCTGGAAGGAGTAGGGGCTTTTAGTTTGAAAATGAAAATAGGGGAAGAAGGCAGGTTGGTTTCACTTTTATTGCTTTAGGGACTTAAAGGCATCTGAACCAGCCATCCTGCACTGAAGGAAGCCACTTCCCCAGCTCCCTGCCATCCCATCTCCCTGCCGTCCCATCTCCCTGCCACCCCAGGTCCCTGCCACCCCAGGTCCCCGCTACCCCAGCTCCCCGCCACCCCAGCTCCCCGCCACCCCAGCTCCCCGCCACCCCATCTTTCTGTCATCCCATCTCCCTGCCACCTCAGCTGCCTGCCACCCCAGCTCCCTGCCATCCCAGCTCCTTGCCATCTGCTATCTCAGACCTTTGTAGCATGGATTTTTTTTAAATGACTCAATAAATTTGAGACTGTTATAGTTACAAAAACATTAAGATTTCTCTTTTCAATAAAAAGGTGCTTTTAAATGAGCATGCATCCGAGATAAAATGTTCAAACAAGACAATAAGAAGTAAGAATCCCACAGGCAGTGCCTAATCACTGGTAGTTTTAGTGGAACTCTTGTCAGCCTTGTCTGCAAGAGTTTTTTTTTTCAGCTTGTATATTTATACATATATATTATACATATTTATGTATAAAATATATACTTATACATGCATACACATGTAGATACACATGCATGTTAATGGCCTGGATGCTGTCTTCATAGCTTTTCATGGAGGTGCACATGGAGCCCACAGGCTTTTGAATAACAGTCTGTTTGAAGTCCAGCTCTGCCATTTGCTAGCTATTTGACACTGTCTCAGTTACCCCAAGATCTGCCTTCTTGTTTATTGACTCTGTAATACGAGAGTAATACTAGAGCATCATTTACAGAGCTGCTATGAAGTTAAATGAGCGAGAGTAAGCACTGAGTCTATAATTTTCAAGAGCTGGAACATCTCCCTCCAGGAGCCCTTCCTGCATGACTATCAGTTCCCCTGGGCCTTGCCTGTGAGTTTACTATGGAGACCGGAGAGCGAGCTTACTGTGCCAGGGCTGAGTCAGTCTCCTAAACATTTCCCCTGAAGAAATGCGATGGTCGGTGTTATTGAAGATCTGTTATGGGGAGCTGGAGAGATGGCTCAGAACTTAAGAGCATTTACTGCCCTTTCAAGAGGACTTGGGTTCCATTTCCAGCATTTCCATGGTGGCTCTGAACCATCTGTAACTCTAGTTCCAGAGGATCTGATGCCCTCTTTTGGCCTCAGTGGGCACTGAACTCACACGATGCACATTAGACAAAGCTGTGCTCAGACAAGGTCCCTTGGTTTAGATAGTCATCCAGTTTTGCCTTCTGCTAAGTGTTTTTATGTCAGAAGTCACAGTGCATGCTTGTCTTTGCCCTTCACATTTCTGAGCACGGATCTCAAGCACAAATGGTCCTAACAACTGCAGTGCTTGTGCTTTTGGCTGTCGACAAAAGACACGGTGCGAGGGTTGGAAGGCAAGGTGATTCTGTCTTGTCCCTCCGTATGACACCAGCATGGATCTTTATTAGTGTCAATGTCTTTGACTGTCATCTGCTTGTGGGAGAAATGGGCTCTCCCTAAACTAAAGCATTAGTACAGTAACTCTCAACCCTCTTTCTGCCGTCACAGATTCTAAACTAAAGCATTAGTACAGTAACTCTCAACCCTCTTTCTGCCGTCACAGATTCTAAACTAAAGCATTAGTACAGTAACTCTCAACACTCTTTCTGCCGTCACAGATTCTAAACTAAAGCATTAGTACAGTAACTCTCAACCCTCTCTGCCGTCACAGATTCTTTCCTCTGTGTCTTATTGAGTTTCCCACTTGAAGAACTCATTTTTCCAGTCCCATAAAGGTGTTTTTTGGAGCTTGTTCTGGAACTCACTCTGTAGACCAGGCTGGCCTCGAACTCACAAGATCTACCTGCCTCTGCCTCCCCAGTGCTGGGATTAAAGGTGTGAGCCACCATCACTTGGCACCCTCCACACTCTTTTTTTTTTTAATTTTTTTTGAGTTCATCCAACAAGAAGCCATAACTTTATTAGTGATAGAAACAGTACAAATTTCAAACCAAGCTGCAGTTCCACCTTTGAAACACCAAAAAGGGGGGAGCGGATGGGGAGTGTCCTCTCTGTCAAATAGTTACATTGTTAATGCCATAATAGCATTTACAATATCATTACTGTTGTTTTTCAGGGCTCGGACTGCCTTTGCTCTGGACACATTCGCCTGTGACATGACCAATTCTATGTCCTTAACTTCCACACCTGTCTCATCAACCTCTTCCTCCTCACTCTCCTCTTGTACTGTCGGAGTCTGAGTATTTGCTTGAATGTTTGAAACAGCTTCACCTTGAACTTTGAACTTCTCAGCAGCTGCTAACTGTGCTTGCTGAGACAAATCTTCAATCTTGGCTTCTCTAAATACGATGTAGGTGTCTGAAGCCGGGCTCTTGTAGACATCTGGTTTGGTGATGACGAAGAGGATATTTTTAGATTTCTGGATAGTGACTCTAGTAACCCCTGTAACCTGCCGAAGACCCAGCTTGGACATAGCCTTCCATGCTTTCTTTTCACTCCGGCTCTGCTTTGCTTTACTGACTGGTTCTTCATCAATTTCAGCTGCTGCCGCCAGCTGGGCTTGTTGTGTAGCTGTCTGTGTGGAGTCTTGTTCCTCGAGCTCTGGTACTGATTCATCGCTGTCAGATTCTGTTCCCGACCCTGTCTCAGCCTGGGGCTGTGGCAGCTCCTGCTCTGTGGCAGGGATGGTTTCTGTGGCTTTGCCAGGCATTTTGTGCGGAGGACGCAGAACCAAGATGGCGGCGGAAAGAGCCCTCCACACTCTTAAACTGTGGCAAGTAATGTGCTCTTGGGCTAGGGTTGGAGATGGGTGGGTCTGTGATTTAACTAAAGGGAATATATTTTTATTTAAACTTTTTTTCCTAATTCCTACTCCCTCCACAGGCTCTCCCCCCACCCCCTCCAATCCTAAGAGAGGGCCATGCACCCTGCCCTGTGTAAAGTCCCAGGCCCTCCCTACTACATCTTGGTTGAGCAAGGTTTACATCCATAGGAATAGGATCCCAAGAAGCCAGTACATACAGTAGAGACAAATCCCAGTGTCACTATCAATGGCCCCCCAGTCAGTGCAACATCTTAAAGAGAAAAGAGAAGTCACTGGTACTAGGCAATGTGGTTGCTTTTAGAATGTAGTTTCATTTAGCATCAGGCAGAGGATGTTTGCGAAGTGAAACAATGGGGTAATTTAACAGCTTCTTTTGGAGGAGAGGCTCTGGGAAATGTATTGTATTGGGTAAGAGTATTGCTGTTACTTGGAGAGAAAATATTAGGGAGACATGTTGTGTCTGTTTGGAAGGCACTGGCTGATTCTGAAGGGCAGTCAGGCTAACTACCCTAAGCTGTTGACAGCTGCCAACCTGTTCAGTCTCAGTTCTGGCTTTATAGCCTTGGTTCCAATGCCCCAATCCTAGTGTAGCTAGCTCCTAACAACTTCTTGGTCTGGCCTTAGATTTCCTAATGCCAAGCTAAATGCACCTCTGCCAGGCTGTTTCCTCTCTCTCTCTCTCTCTCTCTCTCTC